TTCCTAATTAAAATAGGACTAGATAACTCCTAAAACTATTGTAAGACTTCTAGATTCTTCTTACTTCTAACCTCCTTATTAGAAGTAACTTGGGCCTTAAGAAAGGCCTTGAAGGTTTACTTCAACAGCACCTCCCTATCCATCTACTTAGTTTTCGTTGACATTTGACAATTTATTTGACAGAAACAAAAGCAGGCATGTTCCTTGCTTTTATAAGTCAATCTCTTCTTCAAATCCACCCTTATATAAGCATAAAAACCACACAGTCCCATCATCAACAAAAAAATCCATTGCTTCACCAACTCCTACTCATATCTTTCTCATCGGTCTCTACTTCTTCTTCATCTTTGCCTCCGCAGATCCCGACATGCTCCAAGACCTTTGTGTAGCTAACATCTCCTACACGCTCAAACTGAATGGTTTCCCTTGCATAGACGCAGCTTCAGTCACATCTCTCGATTTCTTCTCACAAGGCTTAGCCATGCGGCCCATGCCAGGTCTCACAAACAACACATTCGGTTCCTCAGTCACAGGAGCTAACGTAATGACAATCCCATGACTCAACACACTTGGTGTCTCTCTCTCTTGTATCGACTACGCACCAGGTGGCAGCTTAAACCCTCCTCAAAATCACCCACGTGCTACCGAAATCGTCTTTTGTCCTTGAAGGAACCCTTGACGTACGTTGGGTTTCTCACAACGGCTAATAAGCTCATCTCTCAATCTTTTAAGAAAGGAGATGTGTTTGCTTTCCCTAAAAGGCTTGTCCATTTCCAGAAGAACAATGGTCATGTTCATGCTTCTGTTATCGCAGCTATTAACAGTCGGCTTCCTGGAACTCAGTCTCTTGGTGCTACTTTGTTCGGCTCTACTACTCCTGTTCCTGACAATATCTTGTCTCAAGCCTTTAAGACATCTCCAGGAACTGTCAAACATATCAAATCCATGTTCCAACCCAAGAAATGATCTTAATCATTACAAATTTCCAGTTTCTTCCTTTATTTATCTTGTCTTGTTTGTAATAAACTATGAGTGCGAGTGTGCAACCAGCGTGGCTCCATAATTTGAAGCTCTTAGCCGTTGTTTTCTCATATCTCTATGTCCCTTTGGTTGTTTGTTTGTGCAAGAGTTTTGCTCATTTGGGCTCTGTTTTATTTGGCAGTATGCTCTGTTTCTTAGTTCATAGAAGTTAAAAAAAACAAAAACAAAAAGGACTATGAGTGTGCAAAGTACAACAGTCCACTAAATAAAAAAAAAATAGAGATTAGAAAGCAAAAAAAAAAAAAAGACTATAAGTTATATAATTTGTGGAAGCCCTCTTGGCCCATTGGTTGACCAAGAGTTGATTAATGTTTCTACACCAAAAGGTCTGGGATTCGAGTCCCAGGTATTGCGATTTATTAACAAATTTGCAGATTAATAAAGGCAAGTGTGCAAGAGATCTCCAGCGATGTACAATTATAGCCGTTCGCCAGGATTCTACGCATAGAAGGAAGTGTCGCCAGGTCGTGGATCATTGAAGGTATTCATCAAGATTACGAAGAAAGAAGTGTAGTCTGTCGTGAATCTAGTAAGGGTCGGAAGGAATTGTCAGTTGTAGAATCGTCTATGTAACAGTTCTCATAATTTGCAATTAATAATAAATCTAGACGACAAAAAAAAAAAAAAAAGTTATATAATTTTAGTAATGTTTATAAGATACTTAATATTTCTTAAAAGGATTTTTGAGAATACTAATCTATACTATTAATTGGGAATCACTCAAAAATAAATAACTTTATAAAGTATAAAATATTACATAAATTGCCATTAGGATAATTACAATCAAAGACTAAAAGAAAAAACACGTGCAAGGTTAAAATTATAATTTGAAAGCAAAATACCCATGGATCATGGGCAACTGGATCGGTTATTTACGCGGATCCTGAGCTTATTTTCGGATTGACACGCATATCATATAATCGACCCGGACGGTTGGAAACTGTCCAATTTTTTTTGAACAAAATTACCATATAACAAAAGTAAAGATATTAGCAAAACAATCGTATCCCTACAATTTCGTTTAATAATTAAGGTGCTAACAAATTTTGTTCGTATTCACTTACCAAAAAATCCAAATTCAATAAAAAGAGTATATTCTTGGTTTGTAACATTTTGGAGAGTATTATCCTTTGCGAATAATATTGAACTAAAAATCTCAATCTTTGCAAATCTTACTAATTCTTAACCAAAACTCTATATATGAATCTTAAAATATATAAAAACAAAAAAATCTAATGTATTGCCTAAAACGTCGTTAACCACCAAAATTGCTAAGTTGTGTGTAACCACCAAAACTCCTTATAAATAGGTACTACTCTTATCATTCTTGATCCTTAGGTATATTAAACCTAAGTATCCATTGTTGGTATCTATCTTTTTTCTCATGGCAACTTTTATGAATGTTTATGACTTACACAATACTCTGTTTTTTGTGTGTGAAACAATAGAAATGGTACTGATTATTTGTTTTGCTTTCGTTTCTTGATATATGAAATTTCACTTTTTATGATTCGTGAGTATACTAAACATTTGATGTGTTGTGCAGATAGTCCTAAACAAGACAAGTAAACCAACTGTAAGTCTCTAAACATTTAGTATAGATGAGCAACTGTTAGATTTTTCATTCATTTCTTGAAGATCAACAAGTTTTCTAATCTGCACTTCATCAATTTATATCATAGGTTACCAAAAGACGATCTTGCTCTAACATGTTCTTGAAAATAAGCTAGATGAAGAAAAAGTGGAGCTAAAAGAAGACTGCTTTCTTCTGCTTCCACAAAAGGAGACCATCATTGAGATATATCAATCTAATTAAGTTTCTTACAAACTCTAAAGTGCTAAACTAAATCGTGGAAAATGATTAAAAGTTGTTTATATTCCTAAAAATAATATTTAATCATTTTAGTTTATATTCCTAAACTAAATCGTGGAAAATGACTTATTTAAACCTTGAGTGATAAAGGCTGTGAATAAGGTAAATCACTCTTTGCTTTGGAATAAGTCATAGTGTAATAACTCTGGTCTATGGTTGGCCTAATTTCAGGTTAGGAGTAATATAGTTCCAAATACAAGACTATAAATGGTTTGTTTCGGGAGTTGTTCAAACACTTTCATCCATCTATAACTTGGACGAGTGTATTCATATATGATGCACAGATGGGAAGTTTCTCTGTCTTATCATTTTTGGTTTTAGTGAAAACAATTTCATACTCTATTTTTTATTTTGTTGGTTGTTTTACACAGTAGATCTTCAATTAAATAATATGATCTAAAGCTTAACCAAATACTTAAATAGCAGCCTCAAATCTCCTCTCTTAAGTGAAGTGTTTTTGTTTGTTTTATTTATAGGTTTGATATAGTTAAGTGAAATGATTTTTAGTGATGAACGTTATTTATTGTGGAGTCACAACATATTTATATGTATTAATAGAAACTAAACTAACCTTTTGTTCCAAAAGGACCTTCTTGAAGTTAAGATCAAGCAACTTCTTTTTCTGTCACAAAAAAATGACAAAGTTTTGAGATGTGAGTTCAAAACCCAATGTAATGAGGTGTTTGAAATCATTAAAAACAAACCAAATGATAAGACTACTTCAACTCCACTATGATCCATCTTGCATAACGGGATCTAATCTAGCAGAGACATTAGAAAAAATCAATTAGAATCAGAATAAAATCTTTTCGAAGGCAACATTTATCTTTCACACTCTAGAAACAAGGATGCAATTAATCGGAAAGACCAAAGCTAAGGAAATCATCACCGCAGATGCATCGAACAAATATAAAATCGTATATCCGAGCTCTGAAGACACTAAATTTTAATCCGAATCATCAAATTCAACAGATTTTTGATACATAGGATTGAAGGAGAGCACCGCGAAACCCGGAGGCCCTAATTTCGGAATGAAAGGGGGAAGAAGAACATAAAGTAGCAAAGGTGTAGTTTTCAAGAGTTTACTATTTACAAATGAGCTTCATATAGAACCGACTAAATCTTTTTTTTTTTGTCGTCTGAATTTTATTAATAGACCAAGAACGGATACAAGTTGAAATTACATATGCCGGCGGACAACAGAAATATTCCGAGACTCATTAGCCCAAAAAAGAGAAAGCAAAGCCCCAAAGTACAGGGAAACTGATTATAACCAGGTAGAGAAACAAAATTCTAAAGAAGAACAAACGTCATGGAGAAAAGGTAAGCTAAACACTATAATTGAACAAAGACACGAGAGACTCCCACAAAGTTTTCCTATAGAACCTGTGAAACGCCAGAAGCACCAATAAGACCGGATAGAGCTCACACCGAAGAAAAACCAGTAGAAAACTGACAGGGAGGAAAGCAGAAAACCAACTCGACCAAAGACACAAATACAACTACCATCATACCTCACCAGCCAAACGAATGGAGCAAGAAACACTAGGAACAAGGTAGAACACCTTGAAAATCGACTGGAGAAAAGCCAACATAGTGATTTTGATGAATATATTTTCAGTAAATATAATTATTTGATGTGTTTCATTTGATGTAGGTAAATTTATGTTTGTAGAAGAATTGCTTTAATTTGATATAGATAAATTTATCAAGGTTTTTTAAGTAATTTTTTCCAAGAAAATATTTATTTTAGGTACCATAATACATTATTTTAGGTACTACTATCCGGTTGGTCAAACCAATCTGACCATCGGATTGGTCCAAACTTTAAAATACTAATGAAACCATTATTAATTCTAATCACAAATTGGATTGAAACCAAACCGAAACCAAATTAGTATGAATATTGATTATACATTTTATATCAAAAAATATGTTTACAAAACCCGCACATACGTGCGGGTCCGAATCTAGTAAAATTATAAAAGATCAAAACAACATATCTTGTTTCCCATTCTCAATTAAAATATAAAGGGGTTTTTTTAAGATTACAAGACAGACCGAAATGACAAATCCTTAATGACTAAACCGTGAGAGCGTCTATTTGCTTATGTCAATTTGAATTCGTAAACTATAACGGTTAGAAGAAACTAAACAAGGGTATTTTAGGCATAATAGTCTAAACCCCAATGCTCTATAAGATTAAAACAGGGTATTTTCGTATTTACAAATCCAATCGTTAAACGATAATACTGTATAAAAGAAGATCTTCTTTCTTACTCTCCATCCCTAATTCACGGCTCCTTTGCAAATTGAATCGTTCTTCGAACGGTCTTCTCTTTTGAATTCTCTGATTTTTAACGTTCCGATTTTCTTAAACGAAATTCGAAATTCTCTCGACATCTCCTCTTTCTCCGGCGGCAAAAATCGATCATGGCGGTGGCATCTAACGGACGAGATCGCAATTGGAGAATTTGTTTATCACCATTCACCGAACAAAAGTTTTACGATTCAATCCGAGATCGTTGCTTCAAACGTATCACTGAGAATATTCCGATTACGCAAACAATCCGGTATAAACTCTTTTCTCAATTTAGGTTTCTTTACTTTAAAACAAAAAGTAGCGAATTAGGGAAATTAGCGATGTAGAACTGGTTTGATTATGTATCTTCATGTTGTTTATGTTGAGAATATCATTCGATTTAGGAAATTTCTAATGATTTTGCGTTTCCTAGTGTAATCAATCATCATGAGACGAAACTGATATAATCTTTTTGATGGTTCATGTTGTTAATTTTGTTCATCGTTAGATTACAAGATCAAGATTACCTATAATGATTATTCAGATCTACTGTGTGTTCTTTTTACTATAATTGTCTCGTGACATCTATTTATTTCTATTTGGATCAGTATTTCATCACTGGAGTTGCATCTCAAAATCTATTGCAGTGTTGTCGTCTGATTCTGAAAGAACTCAAGTTCGGTACCATTTTATGATGCGAGTTTATATTAAGTTTGTGTGTTTCCTTAACAAATTTCAGTCTTAAACTTATTTGCCAGTGCATAAGTTTTTTCGTTTTCTCATGTTATATATGTTGATTGGTCTTTTGAGTCTGAATGTGTTTTTTTTTGGCTTTGATTCAGTTCTTTGGCTCAGTTTTGGTATTTCACAACTTGTATTCACTGACATTACTTCCGGTATTTCACAACTTTCCAAGCTTTTTTGCTCATGATTCAATAATCATTCTGTATAATAAGTATTTAATTTCTATGTTTCAACAATCTTCTGTATAACAAGTATTCAATTTATATGTAAATTGCAGGGTATTTCTATTTGGATCAGTATTTCATCACTGGGTATAAACATTGTAGAGAAACTAAAAAGACTTGTTAAATCTCTTTGAAAGGTACGGTCTCTAGTAGCTTATATTTTTTTAGTACTCCTAAACGTTCTAGAAATAACTATATTTGGTTGCTGAATGGTATTTTTTTAGAGAACAACACGTATATACACAAGGGTCATTCCATTTTTATAACTTTATTCTTGGATAATATGTAAGGAATCATGCAGTTTGTTTAGTTTATGTAAATTTTTTGTTGGTTTAGTGTCCTTTGTGTTTATTCACACAATGTCAAACTCTCTCCTTGTTACTGATAAACCTTTTTTCTGCTTTCAAGAGAAGGAAGAGATCCTTAAGCTTTAAAGAACAAAAGTTCTGGAGAGACCATTCACTAGACAATATGAATAAGGTGTGCTTTTCTTGTTCTATTTCTCTTTTTTTTCCCAAAAATGAGACAGACCAGTCCTCTGGCCTGCATTGTTCTTCATATATTTTACATGCTTAGCGGGTTAAGCTCATCAACTCTTATTAGATATGGTAGTAAAAGCACAAAACACAACACACTCACACGTAGTTCAAACACACAAACACATATCTAAACGCAAATTCAAACACACAAAACATAAGACAAACCACGCTCAAACTTAATTCAAACACACATCTAAACGCAAATTCAAACACACAAACCACAAGACAAACCACGCTCAAACGTAATTCAAACACACAAACACACATCTAAACGCAAATTCAAACACACAGCTAAACGCAAATTCAAACACACAACACAAGACAAACAATACACGCTCAAACGTAATTCCAACACACGTTCTAAACGCAAATTTAAACACATTCCATCACAACAACATTCTCGCAAAAAGGGTCACTGTATCATCACTTATATATTCAATGCCAAAGAATTTGCTTTGAGCTCGTTGTTTTCTCTTAATTTTGAAGCATCTATGTTTTATCTGATTGTTTCTCAATAATCAGCCATTTTATTTACTCTTGAATTTGAATTCACTATGTAACAATGACTATTTCAACCTTTTTTTTGTTTATCATGCGCAACTGCTGGCAAAGCAAAATTCTAGCAGACTACAGATTCTGCAAGGTATGTGGTTTATGTACTAGTTTCTCTGGATTAAAGGCTATTGATCTCTAGAAAAATTGGTATCTCGTTTCTGATTTATACAAGTTGCTAGTTGTCTGTCTGTTTTCTCTAGTGCATGTGTTTGGATTTTGGCCTTGATTCAGTTAATTGGCTCAGGTTTGTTTTCAGTGTCACCCTGAGCTTTAATATTACTATATGATTGCACAGTATGTTTTTTTTTTTTTTTTCTGATTTGCATCTACAGAGTCTTGATCGAATATCCTGAAGTTGGAGGGCATGCGTTAACACCTCATCAAAATGACAAATACGAGTAAGAAACCAATTTTGCTAGCAACCGTACTTACGGATTATTTTTTTGTTTTTTTACCCTTTTCTTTTAATGGTATTTTGAGTTTTCTTTGGTTTCAGAAGAAAAGATATTGAAGCTGCAAAGAACAAAAAGCTATGGAGAAGTTTAAGGTAAAGTATTTTTATGCTTCCTAGCGTTTATAATTATTGTCCATAAGACATATACTTATATTCCGTTATTTTTAATAGTTGAATCTCTGTTTTGGGCTAACAACTTAAAGATGCAAATGGCAGGCTAAAAGTCTTTATATAAAATGAGACAGAAAACTCAGTTTGCATTCACTGACTTCTGGTATTTCACAACTTTCAAAGGTCTTTTTGCTCATGATTCTAGTAGGAAAATCTTAGTGGGTTATGTTTCAATAATCTTATCTATAATAAGTGTTCAATTTGTATTGTAGAGAAACTGAAAAGAGTTGATTTTCTTTGAAAGGTAGGCACTCTAGTAGCTCATATTTGTTCAACTATTTTTTGTTCATCATGCGCAACTGCTGTCTGCTGGCAAAGCAAAATTCAAACAGACTGCAGATTCTACAAGATATGTGGTTTATATACTAGTTTCTCTGGATTAAAGATTATTGATTAGAAAAAAGTTTTCGTGTTTCTGATTAACAGGTATTTGTTTTGCTTTTGGCAGATTCAGTTAATTGGCTCAAGTTTGTTTTCAATGTCGCCATGAGCTTTAATATCACGATATGGTTGCATGCGTGTTACCTCATCAAAATTACATATACGAGTAAGAAACCAAATTTTGATAGCAACCATACTGAATATTTTTTACCCTTTTCTTTTAATGGTATTTTGAGTTTTCTTTGGTTTCAGAATAAAAGATAAGCTGCAAATAACAAAAAGCTATGGAGACCATCCAGACATTAGCTATGAAGAAGGCTAAGGTAAAGTATTTTTCTGATTCATAGTGTTTATAATTAATGTCCATAAGACATACTTATTCTCTGTTTTTTTTTCTTTTGAATCTCTGTTTTGGGCTAACTTAAAGATGCAAATGACAGGAACATTTTGCTTTATAAACGTCTTCAAAAAATGAGACAGCAAACATTTGCTCAGTAATTCACATTAAGGTAATTTTATTCTTTTGTGGTACATTTAATTAGTATTTTTGGTTCCTACATTACTCATTATAGTTTTCATGACTTTTCAATTAACAGGTGGAGACCGAGAGAGTCCAAGTTAAAAGTATGACCTAACAACCCAATTATGCTTAGGAAGACACTTTTCATACCAGTAAGTTTTATTTTCTAGGCCGTAGTTATTTTGTGTTTAGATTAGACACTTTTCATCTATTTGTGATATGTTTTACCTGCTCAAGTTTTCTACCTAACAAGATGTTTTGGTTTTTAGGAAGGTAACCATTTTTAAGCCGCAAAGAATCTGAAGATTCTCAAGAGCAAGTGACGAGTAAGGTTATGCTATTATCTCTTTTCCTTTTCACAAAACAAATACATTAAAATACAGCAAAAACACTAAACACTCAACACACAAAAACAAAAACAACACGAAAACATACACGATCACCAAAACAAAACAAAAAAAAAAACAAAAACTTCACGAAAGCATGCACGAGTTCACCAAACCAAAACAAAAAAAAAAACTTCACGAAAACATAAGCTTTGTGACAAAAAAACTTTCACGAAAACATACCCGATCACCAAAAAATACACGCTCAAACGTAATTCCAACACACGTTCTAAATGCAAATTCAAACACATTCCATCACAACAACATTCTCGCAAAAGGGTCACTGTACCATCATCTACATATATAATGCTAAAGAATTTTCTTTGAGCTCTTTGTTTTCTCTTTATTTTGAAGCATCTATGTTTTATCTGATTGTTTCTCAATAATCAGCCATTTTTTTTACTCTTGAATTTGAATTCAGTATGTAATAATGACTGTTTCAACCTTTTTTTGTTCATCATGCGCAACTGTTGGCAAAGCAAAATTCTAGCAGACTACAGATTCTACAAGGTATGTGGTTTATGTACTAGTTTCTCTGGATTAAAGGTTATTGATCTCTAGAAAAATTGTTATCTCGTTTCTGATTTATACAAGTTGCTAGTTGTCTGTCTGTTTTCTCTAGTGCATGTGTTTGGATTTTGGCCTTGATTCAGTTAATTGGCTCAGGTTTGTTTTCCGTGTCACCCTGAGCTTTAATATTACTATATGATTGCATAGTATGTTTTTTTTTTTTTTTTTTTTCTGATTCGCATCTACAGAGTCTTGATCGCAAATATTGAAGCTGGAAGGCATGCGTTAACACCTCTTCAAAATTACAAATTAATACGAGTAAGAAACCAAATTTGCTAGCAACCATACTTATGATGCTTCTGGATTATTTTTTGTTCTTTTACCCTTTTCTTTTAATTGTATTTTGAGTTTTCTTTGGTTGCAGAAGAAAAGATATTTAAGTTGCAAAGAACAAAAAGCTATGGAGAAGTTTAAGGTAAAGTATTTTTATGCTTCCTAGCGCTTATATTTATTGTCCATAAGACATATACTTATATCCGTTATTTTTAATAATTGAATCTCTGTTTTGGGCTAACAATTTAAAGATGCAAATGGCATGCTAAAAGTCTTTATCGAAAGTAAGACGGAAAACTCAGTTTTGCGTGACTTCTGGTATTTCACAACTTTTAAAGCCTCTTTTGCTCATGATTCTAGTAGGAAAATCTTAGTGGGTTATGTTTTAATAATCTTATCTATAATAAGTGTTCAATTTGTATGTACATTGCAGGAGGGCATAAGCATTGTAGAGAAACTGAAAAGAGTTGATTTTTTTTTTAATCTAAAAAGAGTTGAGAGTTGATTTTCTTTGAAAGGTAGGACATATTTGTTCAACTTTTTTTTGTTCATCATGCACAACTGCTGTCTGCTGGCAAAGCAAAATTCAAACAGACTGCAGATTCTACAAGATATGTGGTTTATATACTAGTTTCTCTGGATTAAAGGTTATTGATTAGAAAAAAGTTTTCGTGTTTCGGATTAACAGGCATTTGTTTTCCTTTTGGCAGATTCAGTTAATTGGCTCAGGTTTGTTTTCAATGTCGCCATGAGCTTTGATATCACTATATGGTTGCATGCGTGTTACCTCATCAAAATTACATATACGAGTAAGAAACCAAATTTTGATAGCAACCATACTCTGAATATTTTTTACCCTTTTCTTTTAATGACATTTTGAGTTTTCTTTGATTTCAGAATAAAAGATAAAGCTGCAAAGAACAAAAAGCTATGGAGACCATCCAGTCATTAGCTATGAAGAAGGTTAAGGTAAAATATTTTTCTGATTCATAGTGTTTATAATTATTGTCCATAAGACATATTATTCTCTGTTTTTTTTTTCTTTTGAATCTCTGTTTCGGGCTAACTTAAAGATGCAAATGACATGAACATTTTGCTTTATAAACGTCTTCAATAAATGAGACAGCAAACATTTGCTCAGTAATTCACATTAAGGTAATTTTATTCTTTTGTGGTACATTTAATTAGTATTTTTGGTTCCTACATTACTCATTATAGTTTTCATGACTTTTCAATTAACAGGTGGAGACCGAGAGAGTCCAAGTTAAAAGTATGAGCTAACAACCCAATTATGCTTAGGAAGACACTTTTCATACCAGTAAGTTTTATTTTCTAGGCTGTAGTTATTTTGTATTTAGATTATGGTCTTGTCTAGTGACTAGTATCATCTATTTGTGATATGTTTTACCTGCTCAAGTTTTCTACCTAACAAGATTTTGGTTTTTAGGAAGGTATCCATTTTCAAGCCGCAAAGAATCTGAAGATTCTCAAGAGCAAGTGACGAGTAAGGTTAAGCTACTCTTTTCCTTTTCACAAAACAAATACATAAAAATACAGCAAAAACACTAAACACTCAACACACAAAAACAAAGACAAAAACAAAAACAAAAACAACACGAAAACATACACGATCACCAAAACAAAACAAAACAAAAACTTCACGAAAGCATACACGAGTTCCCCAACCCAAAAAAAAAAAAAAAAAACTTCACGAAAACATACACGATCACAAAAAAAAAAAAAAAAAAAAAAAAAAAAATCACTCAGAAAACTGTGACTAAGAAATTCACGTACACGCAAACACAATGCAAAAAGAAAACCCACAATAACATCCAAGATAAACTTATATGTAGTATGGTTGTTTGCTATAAATTAAGTCTGATTTTCTCAATCGAGGAGAACTGTAGATTTGACTACTCCCTTTCGTCATCTCATTCTTCTCACAATTTCTCTTCTTCTTTTTCGAGACTTGTTGCTGATTGTTGTTGTTTCTAATATGTATATTATTTTTTACTTTTGTTGTTTTCTTGTTCGAAACTTTTGTAATACAGATATTTATTTGATTAATAAAGAGACATTTATTTTGTAAATGTTTTAATGTTTCTAAAAAATAAGATCTGGGATAGTAGACATGGAGAACCCCAACCAAGATAAGAGATTTATTTTTGTCCAAAACTCGCCAAGATTTTGGACCATTGCGTTCCATACCCAAAAGATTTGGGCATCATTTGAAAATAACAAACAAATGGGGTAATTTGAAAACAAACAGAAATAAATGGATCAAATTGGTAAATACGGAAAGCTCTGGGGTAACTTGTCAAATACCAAAAGATCAGGGATGATTTTGTAATATATCAAAATATTTGGGGTAGTCGGGTAATTACCAAAAGATTTAGGGTAGTTTTGTAAATACCCAAAATTTTAGGGCAGTTTTATAAATACCAAAAGATTTGGGGGTAATCGGGTAAATATCAAAATATACGGGGTAGTTTGATAAATACTGAAAGATTTGAGGCAATTTTGTAAATTTCAAAAGTTTAGGAGTACTTTGTAAATACTTAAAAATATGAGGTGATTTAGCAAAATATCAAAAAGTATGAGGCAATTTTGTAAATACCAAAAGATATGGTGTACTTTCGTGAATACCAAAAGATCTGGGGTATTTCTGTAAACACAAAAAGATCTGGGATAGTTGATAAATATTAAAGTATACGTTCTTAATTTACTACAATCAACTCAGTAAACTTTTTTGTTTCCTCATCTTGGATCGAAGTAAAAAATCGAGTTTCACAAAATATCTAAATTATATGATCAGAGTCAACGTAAACTTTTTCTTTTCTCGATTTTAATTTGAAACATCGAATCGTTTCTCATAATTTTTTTTTGGATTATATAGTTATTCTAGTCTGAAACGTGGATGTTGTTAACTTTACAACAACAAAAAAGAAGTCAAAGGGCAAATAATTAAGTTAAAAATGTGTGCTGCAGGGTTATTGGTCTCAAATGAATCACTTGGTCAAATAATATTCGATAGATTATGCGATATTCGATATATCTATAGAAGAAAACTTCAACGTTCTGACAAGAAAGATGATTCTGACTTCAACAACCTAACAAATGTCAAGACTCCAATTCTTTATCATAAGCGTCAAAATAAACGATAGAAGTCAGACTAATATTACATGAAATTTTATTCTGATCGAGCGGATTCAATGGACAACAATTCTTTTATCAGGCAGTCGGAACTCGAGATCGGTTCAGAAGTCTACCTTCTCTCCAAACGAATCCCTTCTCAAGAACAAGGTAAAGATTTTAAATGCTGTTTTTTAATGGTAATTTGGAAAAAGAGAGATTTTCTGTATAATTTCTCTTATCACAAAGTTCATGGAAGAACTAATAATCATGACAGTAGTAGTAGCTCTAATCCAGTTGGTATAAATGATTAAAAGTTGATTCCTATTCAAACCAGTATGTGATAGTCATTCGGTAAGTAATTCGAAAGGCGCTGATTTTATATTTGGATCCTTAACAGAAGTTACACTAGATGTTTCTCATATGATGACATTGGAGGATGAGCTCAGTGAGGAAGAGGATCAGAAAGATTCAAGTAGAGAGGCTTTTGATGCGTGTCTTGAGAATCATAAACTTTCTAGGGAGCAAAGAGAGCATATTCGGGCGATAAATGTGAAGAGAAAGAGAGACTTTGTTTACTTTGAGAAAGTTAACGGAGAGATTGTTAACATACTAGATGGACTCGAATTGCATACCGAAGTTTTTAATGCAGCGGAACAGAACATGATAGTTGATAAAGTGTGTGAATTGCAAGAGAAGGGACAAAAAGGAGAACTAAGTAAGTAGCTAAGATTCCTTCTTCTTTCTACATAGTTTTGATCTGAATTAATCCTAATTTGTATCTCTCTTTGTAGAGCGTGCTTTTACTGCTCGAGGCAAAGGACGTTCAACAATTCAATTCGGCTGTTGTTTCAACTACCGTACAGTAAGTAAAACTCGTTCCTTTTCTCGATTTATGAGTTCTAGTGAGTGCCACAATGATCGAGTGAAAGAGTAAATATGCAGAGCAAAGCTGGAAACCCGGCGGGGATTCTTAAACATGAAACTGTTGATCCATTGCCTCATCTTTTCAAGGTGATCATTAGAAGGTTGGTTAAATGGCATGTTCTACCTCCAACTTGTGTTCCTGATTGTTGTGTAGTCAACATTTATGATGAAGGTGATTGCATACCTCCTCATATAGACAATCACGACTTCCTCCGCCCGTTCTGTACCGTTTCTTTCCTTAGTGAATGCAATATTCTCTTCGGATCAAACCTTAAAGTTAAAGAAACCGGTGAATATACGGGTGGTTCATACTCGTTACCGCTTCCTGTTGGGTAAGTTCTTTTTTATATGTGCTTGTAAATTTTTATGTCACATTCTTGTTATAACTTGGAAACAGTATATGACAAAAAAAACTTAACTTCTTTTTCAGATCAGTGCTTGTGTTAAACGGGAACGGAGCTGATGTAGCTAAGCATTGTGTACCTGAAGTTCCCACGAAAAGGTAATTTTGATTCGTTTCTTTTACATATAATAAACATTTTTCTCTTATTTAATGTTTTTTCCCCCGGTTTCTTAACAGAATATCAATCACATTTAGAAAAATGGATGAGTCAAAATGGCCAGTCTGGTTCACACCAGAGCCTTATTTGCAAGGGATACAGCCATTGCCGTACGAGCTGAAATCTCCTGGTTCCTCTGATCATGTGTGGTCTAGTGAATAAAAATATTGATACATGACCAGCTTTTGAATCTTTTAATTACGATTCCATTAAAAAAAATACTTTAAATGACATAAATACTATCTCTTCCGCAAATTTCGGCAATTCGTATGAATTTTTACCTTTTAACTCTACGATTATAAAAATAACTAGATTTATTCGTCTGCGCGTTACGCGAGATTTCAAATTTAAGCTCGTATTAATCCTTAAAAATAATGATGTCACTTGAATTTCAAAAAATATTTATATTCATACTTGTTTTACAAAACAATATGCAATATAGAAACTATCGAAATTGTTTGGTAGGTACCACGTAATAACAAAAAGTATATAAGATGAATTGGTCTCAGTAACCATCCACGAACTTTTTTCCAGAAGAGAGTTTACTCTATAATCAAATCTTATTAGTATACTAGAGATTAGTCCGGGCTACGCCCCGTTTTATATTTATAATTTTAAATTAGTTTATTGAGTTTCTAATTTGTTTTTATGTTTTTTACTATGCATACGAAAAAATCATGTGATTTATTTTTAAAATTTTACTATATTAAAGTTTTAAATTTTACTATAATTTTTAACAATGACATAGATATAATTCTATTATAATAAAGTTTTATATTTTACTATAATTTTAATATTTAGGTACACTTAATCTTTATATTTTTTTCGTCAATGTAAATTTATACTTTCACACTCATAAAATATAATTTCAAATTTTAATCATTAATTTTCTAAAAAAACGAATTCTTTTTTATATCTTAAAAAATTTATACAATCATACATTTATTACTAATAACATTTAACCATTTAATTTTTTTTTTCTAACCGGAAGAAAATAAAAATACTTTTGAAATAATTTTTTCTCCCACTTCATCATTAATTCTCTAATTAATACTCCCTCCGTTTCGTTTTAGTTGTCGTTTTAGGAATTAAATTTTGTTTTGTAATAGTTGTCGTTTTAGGGTTTTCAATGCAAATGTTTGGTAAAAATTCCAGTATTATCCCTATTGTTTTAATGTTTTGGCCAATGAAAAAATTTATAAGATATATTAATAAAGGGTAAAACAGAAAATTTAATGCTTTTCTTAATTGGTGTGAAAAAACCTTAAACGACAACTAAAACGAAACGGAGGGAGTAGTCAGTAACTACTATATCTAAGTAATGATTTTATTTCTATTGTTTATGATAAATATAAATACAAAAATAAGAATATTTGTTTTTGATATGATATATTCTATTAGATGGTTAACATGTTGATGTGGACATTTTAGATGAAAAATAGAACTATCTTTATTAATACCCCATAAATCATTTTATAACAATATATAATTCAAAAATAGTAGATTATTATTTATATACTCCCTCCGCTTCGTTTTAGTTGTCGTTTAAGGTTTTCTCACACAAATTAAGAAAAGCATTAAATTTTCTTTTTTTATATTTTATTAATATACTAGTATTCCCAACCGTACTACGTACGGGATAAATAATTTGATTAACAAATTTTAAATAATTTTACCACACAATATTAACAAATTTAAACAAAAATTTTGTTTCATGAGATATACTGAAGTTACTCTGACAAATAAATTTATTTTGCTCAAAAATAAATCTGATAATACATTTATAGGAAACTATACAGAAGCAGCGTTTCCATTTTTTTAATTGTTATACGTGATAAATTGTTTAGTTTGTATATTAGTGGAAGTTTGTATAGTTTTGTTTTTGGGAACTTGAGAATTTCATCACTAATATAACTTAATTCTTAGAAGCACAAATATGACAAAAAAACTTAGAGAAAACTTTGGAATGAAAAATTCAGAATTAACCAAAAAACGAACTTGAGTGCTAAAAACTTCATTTTTAATTTACTGGATTTGAACAATCCTTGATTGCAAACTTATATACAAAAATGTCATTCCCTATGTCAACCTGCACTTATCTGATGAATACGTGATCGATAGATATATATGCAGTTACAACATGATTTGTTTATTTAAAATAACTGAACATGAAATCATTTTTTGGCTATCTTTGGGCTGATTGTGTTTTACTCACTTTGTAAGCCGACAACAAAAGAATACAATTTGTAATTAGTAGAAAAGTCAGAGAATATGAGAATAAAAGGGCAATAATTAGTACCAACGTATGTGTCTTTGAGCAAGATGTCGTAGTGTCTCATTCTCATATATGAGTCACAGACCCAACATTTCTCTTGATGCACAATGGATTTCCATCAGAAGTATTCAAGTAATCCTTGTGGGTTTAAACGTCATCTTTGGTGCTGTTACCATTGCTTTCAGTGAAAGAATCCTTTCTAATCTGACATCGTTGGACTGGTAAAAAAATTAAGATTATATAAAAGAATGCATAGACATGAACTGCAAAGCTAAGACAGATGATACCTTCTTCTTGGTTTCCTACTCCATATTTATGGAGACTTTTTGTTGAATTTTATAGTCACCTTCTTAATCGTTGCTCTCTACAAAATTTCAAAAATAACAAACAAATAAATGCAGAATTAGTTTATTTTATCAACTGATTGTAGACCAAATGTATGCACACAAAAGTGTCATAATTCGATTTCTTCCAATTCTTAGTAGTGAAGAATCGTACCATTTTGCCACCGTCTTTTCCTCACGTAGCTTAAGTCTTTGCTCTATGCTTCTTGACTTCTTTCTTGGTATCCATCCAGTCTCACTCCCTTTGACCTTATAACCTCCACAAAAAAATACCTAGCAATAGTTACTTTTCCTTTGTTCGGGATCTCCAAATATACTGATGTTCATGGAAAATAGATCGAATCCAATCTCTAGTGGATGTACTCGTATACCGGGAGTGGGTGGCGTAGGAACTTGTCGCTGACGACTATACAGTGGGAATTGGAGGAGGCTCATTTTGTGAGAGAATCGCAGACAGAGCAGACCGAGACATATATCTCGGGAAATATAAGCGACAGCTCCACTGCATTACAGTCGCCGTGAGAAGAAACGGTTATGAGGCGTTGGGGAGAGAGTTTAAGGAATCAAAATTTCAAAGAGCAAAAATAAGAGTTTGAGTTCCTCGTGAAATAAATATGTGGAGGACGATAAACGGTTTCAACGACTTTGAGATCGTGAAGATGTGGTGAGGTTGTTTTGTGATTAGTGCAGACAAATTAGGGATTTTCAAAATTACGTAGCCCACAAAAAGAGGAGTAGTTTTGGCAAGTTTTTGTTTGGTTAGTTATAATGATTAAATTTTTGTTTGGTTAGTTATAATGATTAAATTTTTCTCCCCCACGTTCTAATTTTTTTTGAATTGTTTTTTATGTAAATTAAAATATTGGTGATGGGCTTTATTCTTTACGGAAGCCCATATTTTTGTGTTGACAAATTTCGTTTTATTATGTTTTTGGCTTTTTCCCACGTTTTTTTTTTGTAATTCTTTTTATGGAAATTAATTTATGAAAGAAAATCCTATGTGTCAAAATTTTAGTGGCCAAGTGACTTGTGCTTTATAAGATAAAGGATTTTATAAAAAAAATTATCGGCCGAAACATTAAAACAATAGGGATAAAACTGAAATTTTCACCAAATATTTGCATCGAAATCCTAAAACAACAACTATTATAAAACAAAATTTTAACTCTAAAACGACAAGTAAAACGAAACCGAGGGAGTATTAACTATAAATAAATATCTAGGCGATGAAATTCAAAAGCACGTTACAGTAAATGGCGATGAAATTGGCGATTTTCTCAATCGTATGGTCGTGGTTCGTCGTCTCTACAGAGACGGTTACTACCAGTTACGTCGGCGTCGAGGGGTGGTTTCCTCTCATTGATCATGCGGCGGTTATCTCCACGTTGTGGATCTACCCACTCCGTGATGCTTCTTTGACAGTTCCAGTGATGAGAACACTCTATAAATTCCACCCCCTTATTCCCGATCCTCTCAGATCCCTCTAAATTCAAGTATCTTCTTCCCGTTTCAATTCTACAAAGTTCTTGCAAAAATGGGAGATAATCTGAGGAGATCGGTTCAAGACATCAATTTGGGCGTTGAAGATGATCCAGTCGCTATTCGGCGGATTTGGTGGCTACTGTCGTGGCTGAAAATCGATTTATCCTAATGGGCAGACCGGTGATCCCTCGCCGCCAGAATATCCGTTCGATCATTGCTTCGATGCCTCGTGTTTGGGGATAATCTGGTCTGGTCCATGGCCGCATTGTAGGAGGCAATCAATTCCAATTCATCTTCCCTACGGAGGAATCGCTGGAAACAATCATCCGCCGTGGACCTTGGGCCTTCAACGACCGTATGCTGGTTTTGCAGAGATCGTTTCCCCTCGAAAACCCTCCGTTGATCAACTTCATACAGTTCTGGATTCAAATCAGAGGGATTCCCTTCCAGTTCCTCAACCGTGATGTCATCTCCCATATCGGGCGGTCAATTGGCAATCTCATGGAGGTGGATTACGATGCTGAGACCGCGGCGAGGGTTCAATTTGTGCGTGTTCAAATCAATTGGGACATCCATCATCCTTTACGTTTCCAAAGACAATTTCAGTTCCAGGAGGGGATTAACACCATCTTGCGCTTCCTTTATGAAAGACTTAGAGGATTCTGTAAGATTTGCGGTATATTAACACATGATTCAGGGGCTTGTGTGCTCCAGAATGGTGGAGAGGAACAGTTTCCAGACAATGATGATGATGAAAAAATCCCTCATGCTCGACAACAAAACCAAGGAGTAATCATTCGTGAGATCAATGTCAATGATCATGATGAAGGTGAAGAACAAAACGACATCAATGCTGATGCACCTGAGGAAGAGGAAGATCTTGATGACATAGACCCAAATCATGATGCTCTTGCGAATTATGAAGGAATGGAAGAAAGAACAGGTGACTTTAGTATGTGGAGTCCAACCCAGGAAACAAACGAGATCACCTACCCAAATAACTCTGCGGATACTAACATGGAGGAAATCCCGAGAGTTTCAAACATTCCCAGATATCTCCTTCATACTCCCAAACTTGAAGATGCAACCACTAGATCTACAAACGAGCGTGGGAAAAGAAAGCGGGAGGACTGGATAGAAGGATCGGAGAAGTCTGACCATAAGCTGACTATCCGCGAAGTTGGAGACAGCAGTGGAAGCTCTGGTGAAGCTACTCACCCCAAAAGACTTGTGAGAGGCGCGGTGGGCCCAGAACCACCTCTTCCTCCATGAGGACAGCTGCTTGGAACTGTAGAGGACTGGGCAATGACCTCGCAGTTCGACGTGTAAAGGAGATCAAGAAGACTTTTTCTCAAGACATCATTTGTCTCATGGAAACCAAGCAAAGGAATGACATAGTTAGAGATGTATGTGGTGACCTAGGTTATGACAGAGTTATAACTGTCCCTCCTGTAGGTTTAAGTGGAGGAGTTGCTTTATTTTGGAAAAGTTATATTTCTGTTTCTGTTCTTTTTACTTCCCCAAACCTTGTAGATACGTATGTTCAATCTAATGGATTTGGTTTCTATTTGACTTGTGTTTATGGAAATCCAAATCCAACTTTAAGACATGAGGTTTGGGAAAGACTAGAACGAACAACAACAAACAGAGAAGGACCTTGGATGGCAATAGGTGACTTCAATGAAATCAAAAGCAACAATGAGAAGAAAGGTGGACCTCCTAGACCAGAAAGTTCTTTCGCAGATTTTCGAAGAATGCTTTACGTATGCGACTTTGTTGATCTTAAATACACAGGCGATCCCTTCAGTTGGGTTGGTAAAAGACATCATCATGATGTATCATGTTGTCTCGACCGTACACTGGTCAACAATGCTTGGCTCTCGCAATACCCGGCTTCCCATTCTGAATTTTTGAAAATAGAGTGGTTGCTACAATCACCAATAATTTTACTCCGAGACAAGGACAGTTTTGCTTTGATAACAGACTTGTCAACTAAGATGGCTTTAACGACGCTGTGAAGAAGGGATGAAATTCAAGATTGAACGGCCATCACGAAGGTATCATCTCTCGGCTAAAAAATTACCGTATAGAAATATCCAAATGGAAGAGGAGATACCAAGCTAATGCTAGAGAGGACATACTGATCCTTAAAAAACGTCTCGACTCTACTCACTCGGATGGCTCACCTACACAACGTCTCAGAGATCTCAGACATCAACTTTCTCGAGCTTATGCGGATTAAGAGGAATTCTGGCGCCAAAAAAGTCGGAAGACATGGTTATCAAGCGGAGAACAAAACACCAAATTCTTCTTTGCATCAGCTAAAACACGGACAACCCGCAACAAGATGGTTTCAGTCTTGGATGATGCAGGTACTGAGCATCGCGGAGATACTCAAATTGGAGAAGTGGCCCAAGACTTCTTTATAAAGCTCTTTCAAAGTGAGCTTACTCCTCAGAATAACCACTTCCATGTTTTTCATGAATTCGTGCCGAGGGTTTCAGATGAAATAAATGCAGACTTGACGAGAAAGGTAACAAAGGAGGAGATAAAACAAGCGGTGTTCTCCATAGGTGCTTCAAAGGCACCGGGTCCAGATGGCACCACAGATGCTTTTTATCAACAGTTTTGGGAGATATTGAAGGCAGATATTATTGAGGAAGTGAGGAATTTTTTTGAAAAAGGCGTGTTTGACAAATCCATGAATCACACTAATCTCTGTCTAATACCAAAGTCAACCACTGCGAGACACATGAGCGACTACCGTCCCATAGCCTTATGTAACGTAAGCTACAAGATCATCTCAAAAATTTTGGTGACTCGTTTAAAATCACATCTCTCAAGCGTTATCTCTGAAGAACAAGCAGCTTTCATTCCTGGCCGAGTTATCACAGACAATGATCTCATCGCTCATGAGATTATGCATGCTCTAAAGATTAAAAAGAGATGTGCAAACTCCTTCATGGCTATCAAGACTGACATCTCCAAAGCTTACGACAGAATTGAATGAGATTTCCTCCAAGAAGCAATGTTCAAGTTTGGCTTTGACACCAAGTGGATTGAGTGGATTATGACTTGTGTCCGGACAACCACATTTTCGGTTAACATCAATGGATCACCTAAAGGATTTATTCAGCCAGAAAGAGGTATTCGACAATGCGACCCTTTGTCACCTTATCTATTTATTCTGTGCGCTGAGGTTTTAAGTCACATGATGAGAAGAGCTGAGACTCAAGGCAACATTAGAGGAATAAAAGTAAGCAATGCAAGCCCTTCTGTGACTCATCTCCTTTTCGCGGATGACTCTCTCTTCTTTTCTCAGGCCAATATGAAAGCAGCAAAGGCGATACAGAATGTGTTACTTCAATATGAATGTGCATCAGGTCAAAAGGTAAATACCAATAAGTCACCCTTAACCTTTGAAAAAAGAGTACCAAATACGACGAAGACTCAAATCAGAAGACAACTCCAAATATTCAATGATGGTGGATGTGGCAAGTATCTGGGATTGCCTTAACAGTTTGGAAGGAAAAAGGTAGAACTATTTCAATACATTGTTGAGAAGGTTAGAGAAAGAACAAAGGGCTAGAGCAACAAATTCCTGTCCCATGGTGGAAAAGAATTCTTCTTAAGTCAATCGCCGTTGCAATGCCGGTGTACACCATGAACTGCTTTAAACTTCCAAAGAGCATTTGTGAAGAAACAGAGAGAATCATGGCTAACTACTGGTGGAACACATAAGACCAAGGAAACAAGACTCATTGGGTTGCATGGAATCAGATGAAGCATATGAAAAAGGAAGATGGCCTTGGATTCCGAGACATAGAGAAATTTAACGATGCTTTACTATCAAAGCAAGGATGGAGAATCCTTCAAAATCCGAATAGCCTAGTTGCTAGAATCCTCCGTGGCACGTATTTCTCACTTTCTTACATTCTTAGAGCCTCTAGATGTACTCAACCATCCTTTGGTTGGCAATCTATCCTCCATGGGAGGGATCTTTTAAAAACAGGGTTACGTTTTATCGTTGGAAGTGGTGATCTGATTCAAACATGGATTGACCCGTGGTTATCGACACACCCACCTCGTGCTCCACGGCCTTTGACCGGACACCAAGCAACTGTCTTTTTAGTTAAAGATCTGATTCTCCCCAATAAAGTCGAATGGAATGAAAGACCAATACGTGAAGTTGTTCACCCGGAAGATGCAGTTCACATCCTAAGCACAAAAATCAGCCCTCATCAATATAAGGATTACCTGGGATGGCATTATACAGAGAACGGCATATACACGGTGAAATCCGGATATTGGCTTGCAACTCACATCCCGGATAACGATCTTCTACCTATTCCCCCTCATTGTGATCCCCAAATCAAAAGTGAAATTTGGAAATCTCACACTGCGCCGAAATTGAAACACTTTCTATGGAGAATGCTCTCCAGAGCGCTTCCCACCGGTGAAGAACTAGAGAAAAGACATATACCTTCTGATGGTTTTTGTCGTCGATGTGTCTCAGTGATGGAAACAACAGAGCACTTGTTCTTCAACTGCTCGCATATTACACAGATTTGGAGAGCATCTAACCTGCCAATCCCAAGTCTAACCAACTCGCTGGTTACAGTCGAAGAGAAATTAAAAGCAATGTTCAACTTCCATAAACATAGAGGGATCTATGACTCACTAGCTCACCTTCCATTCTGGATTTTGTGGAAGATATGGAAAAGTCGAAATTATTTAGTCTTTCAACGGAAAACTCGTAATTGGCAGTGCGAACTGAGAGAAGCAAGACAAGAGGCAGAGGAGTGGTCAATCGTTGGAGACACTACAACAATCAATCATAGACAAGGTCCTTGTAATAACACCGGTTATGATACAAATAGAAAAAGATGGAAGAGACCGAGAGAGGGATGGGTTAAATGTAACTATGATGAAAGTTACATCAACAATCAAACCAGAGCTACAATGGGTTGGATAATCCGTGACACGCAAGGAAACTTCAAAGGAGCAGGACAAGGAGCATGATCTGTTGTGCAATCTGCGTTAGATTCGAAATGCCAAAGTCTTATACACGCAACGCAGCACTTGTGGACAAGAGGCCACAAAAATGTTATCTTCGAAGGTGACAACCAAGTTTTAACAAAGGTGTTGACAGGAAATGTAAAGAGATTCGACATCATCAATTGGATTCACGACATCAGAAGTTGAGAAAGAAAGTTTGAGAATGTAGAATACACTTGGACTCCAAGATCTTCAAACCAACCAGCCGATTAACTAGCTAGAAACCATCGAGGAGGATACACAAGTTTTATTTTTCATTCCTCTGTTCCTTATTATATTTCAAACGTTTGTAATCGGGATCTCTTTAATAATTAATCAATGCAAAAAAATCTAGGAAGTTAACACTATAGATAACACTATATTTTGTATTTTAGACTAAACTATATTATACTTCTATATTTTAATAGTCATTTGAAATTTTTGTTACATTTTTAAATTACTCATTATTGTTTCATAACATGTGATACATTGATATTTATTTTAAAAAAAAAACAAAAAATTTAAATGAGTTAATGTTTCTAGGAGATATGAATAGCTTTTTATTATTAAAAAAATATCATGTAGCCTTCCATTAAGAATTATTTTGTCAATCTTAAATAACATTGGTTTTCTAAGAAATTTTCATTGTTAATATTTTATTGTATTATATATTTAAGGATTTTGTTTATACATTTAATCATATATTAACACATATTTAATTTTAAGTTTTGTTATACGTATATATATATATATATATGCACTTGTGTTATTATCATTCAATTAACTTTTATTTAAAATTATGTATTAATTGACGATTAGTGCTTAGATAACAAGATGTAATTTACCATAAAATTAATTACTTTGAAATGATTATTGGTGGGTAGAGCTGTTAAAATGGGTTGTCCACGTCCAGTTTGTCAAGTCCAATATTGACCATTTTAATTATGGACAAATAGTGACCATGTCCATTAAAACCATGTCCATTAACGACTATATCTAATTGGGTTGTCCATTGGTCAGAATATAACAAATTTGAACAACAAAGTATATGCTTCATATTTGAATACAAAAGTGAAAAGTCTAAAACAATTTTTCCGCCTAAAAATGTGAATACACAATTTCCCGATAAAAATGTATACTTCTAATTTTCTCGCCAAAAACGTAAATCCGCAATTTTCCGGCCAAAAAGATTCACAATTTTTAACTAAAAAGGAGAATGTGCAGTTTTCTCGCCAAAAACGTAAATTTGTAATTTTTCCGCCAAAAAAGTAAAATTGCAATTTTCCGCCAAAAAGATTCACAATTTCCAACAAAAACGAAAATCTGCAATTTTTCCACCAAAAATGTAAATTTGTAAATTTCCCGCCAAAATAATAGTGATGATGATTATTTGGCGAAGATATGTGAATAAATCATATGAATTCTCTGGTTTCGATTTTACGAAAATGAGTAAATGTGTTTATGATTTTCTCCCACATCGATTTTGATCTCCCTTTTTTAATTAGGTATAATGGACAAACCAACGGCGGACCTACTAAGGGAAAAGGAGGGTCAACTGACCCACCTTAAATATTCAAATTTATACTAATGCATTAGGATACAAAAACTCATTCTAGCGAAATTGGTAAATCCTTCATAATTGACACACCTACACTCGTGTTCGACTCTATATTTACACACTTTTATGTAATTTTTTTTTCTTTTGTACATCTTCAATACATGTTTTATGTTATGTATTTACTGTTTTTCTTATTTATTTTTAAATCAAAACATTTATTGGAACTTGTATACCTTTTCTAATTAATAATGACAAAATAGAAATGTTTTTTTTTTAAGTTCACATTTGTTTAGTGTTTGGGTAATAATATAAACAAGAAATTATATGATAAATTCAAAAGAAAAAAAATTTGACCCCGGTAAAAATAATTTCTGGGTCCGCCACTGGGACAAACCAATGTCAGGTATATTTAAAGTTTGATTTACTTATTTTAAACATCAGTGTTGATCATTTTAAAAGATATATGTTAAATATGTAAAATTTCTAATGACCATGTTTTGTTTCTATGATATATATATATATATATATATATCATACATTCAAAAAATTTCATTAAAATTCTATTATTTGGGCACCTTTTATATTTATCTTTTTATTGAAATGTTATAAATAAGATTAACACATGTTTGTATCGATTATGTTTGGTATATTTATGTGGACTTGTATAGATGCAGGTATCGAAAATCATTTGACAACTGCAATATATTGTGTTATGGACGGGATCATTGTATGTACTACTGTATTCAAACTGGATTTAAAAATGGTGGACAATGTGGTTCTTCTTGTATTACATGTCCTATGAAATGTTGTTGCCAAATTTAATACAAAATAATATACCCCCTCTCTCTCTCAAAGTTGCAAGACTGCTATATATAGATTGTAAGAAATATTAATTAATATTTTTCCCCTATTATATAGTCTTATAGTTATCCGTTTTCTATTGGAATAATGTTATTATTTAATATATTTGGTAACCAATCAAATTGATAATAACGGAGTTTTTCCTAATAAATCTCTTCTTTGATGGACGGTCGAGATTAATCCTAAGTAAATCCTAATGAGGAATAGGTCTTCTCTCCACCTATAAATATATATTTTTAGACCATCATAAAGATATCATAAAAACGCAACACGTTAAAGCTACGTTTATAGGCAATGTGAGAGAAACCTAATCTCCTAACCTAAAAGTTCAGGAAAACTGTTCACGGAGAAATCTCCGCGACAATGAAAGGAGGTAATCCGATAAACCTCCTAATGATTTTGTTATGTGATTAACCTAGATGTTTAAAGGTCTTAGGGTTCATGTAAAATAAACTTACATAGATTTCTCACATATTCTTCTAGTAATATATTTAGATTCAATTATGTATTCAAAGTCCGCTTGAATTTTTTTTTTTCAATAAAAGAAAAATAAAGAGCACTCACAAGATTTGTTCTATTAACATGTCTAACAAATTATATTGTTTCTACAATAAATTTCAATCATAAGGTTTTTGGTGCATCACAAATTAAACTTTATATTTCCAATTGTATATCTACTATAGTTTCCGGTACAAATTCATGAGATTAATCCATAAGCTTTTAATTTAGTTCAGATTTTCCGATTAGTAAACATATACATGTACATATAGTGATATGTGTATGCATATAAATATCTATATAAGCATATATGTGATTTAATATTAGAGTCTTATTTGTTGTTATATAGTGTGAACAATTTTTCATTATGGATTTGATCTAGTGGGAAACTTGATTTCTGTGTTTTTGTGAGTAACGTTTTTCTTTCCTGTAGACATGAGTTTTGTTTTAAATATGGTTTGATAGCTATAGATTTGTCCTTGCGTCACACGTAAACTTCATGAAGGTTACGTTAATAAAAGCTCGCGGCCTAGATCTAAATTACTATAAAAAAATTCCTTCAGACTGAAGATAACATATATGAATGGCGGCAATCCATGAACCCAATTTTGATTTCAATATACATAAATATGTGCAACGCAATTGCTTAACTTTTTGCAAAACCAAAAAGGCAAAAACCAAAATCCAATTTGGAAAAAGAAAATATTTTAAAAGAACAATTTAGTAAAAACAAGACCGAAACTCCACGTGTTTGTATGCATGCGCCTTCACTCCGGAACCTGTCTCCATTTGTTTCACTCTTTTTCCTCTCATACCTCACACATCTATCTCTCTATCTCCTCGCCGAGAATGGCTGACCGAACCAACCCTAGCAGCCACACACAACACAGACCCATCTACAACTCAACCACCGTCCCACGCAGCAACAACACCACCACCAACCACCCCCTCTCATCTCTTCTCCGTCAGCTACTACAATCGCAGTCTCCTAATCACTCCGGTCAGCTCTTCGGCTTCCTCGCATTTTTCATCTCTGGTGGAATCCTCCTTTTACTCACCGGAATCACCGTCACCGCTTCTGTCCTCGGATTCATTGCTTTTCTCCCACTCATCATCATTACAAGCCCTATTTGGATCCCTTTGTTCCTCGTCGTTACCGGATTCTTGTCCGTCGCCGGATCCCTCTTCGCTACGGGGGCTGTTGTGTTGTGGTTGTATCGATATTTTAAAGGCATGCATCCACTTGGGTCGGATCAGGTGGATTATGCTCGGAGTCGAATCCATGACACGGCGGCCCATGTAAAAGATTATGCTGGTGGGTACTTCCATGGTACGCTGAAAGATGCAGCACCTGGTGCATGAAGGTTAACCGATATGGTTTGGTCTCATGTAGAAATTACACGTTTTTTGTTTTTCCCCTTAATTAGTGTTGTGTTTTTTTCCTCTCTCTCTCTTGGTATATATGATCAATAATATATGAAATGTGGTCTGTGTTTGTATGAATGTCACTTTAACAAAACCAAAAAAAGGAGCGGTTTGTGTTTATTCTCTAGTAGATACCGAGATATATAAAATGAATCCCCAATATTTCTTTTGTACTAGTTTCCTCTTTCATAACTTTCGTTCAAATTAGTAAATGTGATTTTGTGAGTTATAGACGCCAGATAAACTGTATATCAAGCACGGAGCACCTTTAGTTTGACGTAGTCCTCGGCGTTCGGTTGTCCAATCGGTTTGGTTCCATTCGATTTTGGTTTTTTTAGTTCTAAAATTTAGTAACTATTCGGATATTTTGAAATTTTGGTTCGGTTTTGGTTTCGGTTCTTTTGGTTTTAAAATTTAGTATCCATTCGGTTATTTTACTTTGGATATTTTCGTATATTTCGGTTATTTTTGGATATTTTCCGATATTTTTGGATATTTTTCGGTTATTTTTGATTATTTGAGGAAAAATGCTGAGCTCGCTACAAGGTTATACATCAGTCCTTCAACATGTTAGCCTAATGTGGCTGGGATGATAATTGTCGGTTTAGGGTATCTCATGACTGAATTGAGTCACTCAGCTGTATTTGACCCTCGGCTTGCGGCGAAGATACTGAATGTAGTACGTGTATCACATGGAGGAGAACGTGGTTTCAATGAGGCTATTGAGCTGTCATCTGAAGTCTTGGCGAATGTAAAGTTTATTCAAGAGAAGCGTTTGATAGGGAAGTACTTAAAGGAGATAGAGCAGGACACAGGGAAGTATGTGGTTGGCTTGGATGACACGTTAAACGCTTTGGATTCGGGTGCTGCCGAAACGCTGATTGTGTGGGAAAATCTTGATATCAACAGATATGTGTTGATCAGGAACAGTACAACAGGTGAAACTGTGCTAAAATTCTTGAACAAGGAAGAAGAAAGCAACACTGAGAGTTTCAAAGTAAGCAAATCAAACTGGATGTGGAAGAGAAGATGTCGTTATTGGAGTGGCTGGCTGATGAATACATGCGTTTTGGTTGTGCGTTAGAATTTGTAACCAACAAATCAGAGGAAGGGTCTAAGTTTTGCAAAGGGTATGGAGGGATTGGAGCTATACTTCGTTACCAGCTTGACATGAGTGCTTTTGATTCTGATGATGGAGAGGTTATTGATGAAGATGATGATTATTCTGATTAGCCATTAATCAAATCCTCACCTTTGTCGGTTCGGGAAGATGGACCACCACCTCCAAGCCTGAACCAGGCTATGCGGGCTCTCGGGGTCACCACGCAGAAGATAGTTCGAAAGTAATCGAAGAAGCATCTTTTTCCAAAGGTAAGGGATCTCTTAAAGCTGTGTTTGTTTTTTTTTTTGAAATTATTTACTTACTATATGAAATGGTGTGTGTTAAAACAGGTGGAGAATGAAGAAACTGGTGGAAATTGAATTGGTCTTGGCTACAATTACCTTTGGTAGCGTTCATGTCGTTCTACAAGACTACAACATCTATGGAGTTTTTTTATTTTATTTTCGGTTCTTTTATTTAAAAAGGTTACTCGAGTCAGAATTGTAATGCTCTGTCAGAGAAAAAACCCTAGTGATTTGGGTTAGTATTTCAGTATTTCTCTCCATTGCATGGATCTTTTGTGTTTCTTTGGGATGGTGAATAAGTTTGAACGACCAACATCTTTAATTCCTTTTGCGTCTTAGTTTTTTTTTTTTGTTTTTTTTTGTTTTTTTTTGTTTTTGGGAGATTGTTAACTAAACATTTTTTAAACTGAAATTCTGCATGGAGCACTTTGAGACTTCCAGTAAAGTTTGCACCATTTATCTGTAAAAAATTATGTTTTCTAGAAATCGAGTACCAAATTTGGTGTAGAAGTATTAATGAACCATTTTGTCAACCATTGGACCAAGAAGACTTTCACGTTTTACTTTTGTTTAAACTTTTATTTGGAGGTTACTAAACTATAATTTGTTTTTAGTTAAAAATTCTACAATTAATACAGAAATACATTAAAAAACGTATTTCTTATAATGAAACATATTAAATTGACATGACAGTAATATCCGGCGTTTTATAAACTACTGAGATTAATTTTGGCATGAAATCCTCCTGATTGTTTTCGTTATTAAGAAAAACACGGTTTGCTTTTAGATTTTTCTTCAACAACTAACCGTACCGAATCAAACTAAACTAAGTCAAATGAATTTGATAAATTTGATAGAGTCAAAAGTAATATGAAAATCAAAGTTGAATCGAGACTATTAATATAGCCCTACTCTCATTTGAAAATAAATAAACTAACAAAAGAAGAAGAAGAAGAAGCTGTTATTTCCGTTAATGGCTCTACGTTATCCTTGAGAGTTGGCTCACACATTCTAGTCTACGGACACGAATAATTTTGAAATCATTTTAGCATGTATTTTGAATATTATTATTCTAGTCTTAATCCATGTGTATCACGACCTTTTTTTGAGAGCATTAACTCGTTTGAAAACATTCAGTAGTATGTGTCATCGATTTCCTTTGAAATAAATAGTATTAGATTAATGTATACCTAAAGGAAATTAATTCGACTTTTCTACCTAAAAGAAATTAGATTACAATAACAATATGGCATGATGGTTTGAAACTTTGGACCATGAAACAAGACGAGTTAATGCTCTCAAAAAATATTAGATTACGATAACAATAACAATCGTCTCTGTGAGGGTGAGTTATGTTCCGGCGTTGTCTTGTTACAACATTCTTATATACATAATATTTTTGTTTTGCTGCGTAATCGACGTTTCAATCATCTAATGAAGTTGCTTAATAATCATTCGTTCCATTAGGTTTAACTGCGACCCGACTTAAGAACGGGTCGGGTAACTAGGTAACAGAGTGCCACGTGGCGATCTTGGTGGCACCTCATTTAGCAGCCGTCCGTTGCAGTCGTAATAAATCACACCCGAGAAATCCAACGGCTCACATTTGCCTCCCATCAATATCTCTTTCTGCCAAAGGCCGTGCTCCTCCTCCACCGCCACCGCTTTTTTCTCGGCCGTTTTTTCCCGGCGGACCATCGTCATCGCTTTGTTGCTCAAAGCCGTGAACAACTCTTTCGGCCTAGGAGAACTCATAGACGAGCTTATCATATTCCATCGGAATCTTTCTCCTCCACCCTCTCCGCCGCTGTGAGTTCGCTTCTTAGACTTTAGCTTTAGTTTCTTTGAGAGCCGATTCGCATGCCTGGCGCAGAGAACCATCATAGAGACGAGAAAGCTCACGCTTAGACGTTTGTGGGAGGAGGGTGAGTTATGTTCCGGCGTTGAACGGTCCATATCTTCGCCGGATACGAAGAATGAGAAGTAAAAAAAGCCGTAGTTACTTTTATAGGGGTTTAACAAGTCAAAGTCAAGCACTAGATTTAGAACCGATTTATTCTCTAGTGTCTGAAATGTGTGTGTTAATGTTATATATATATATATATATATATATATATATATATATATATATATATATATATATATATATATGTATAGACATGTTGATGAGATTTAAGAAAAGGGTGTTAGGTTACCGGTGGAATCGGTCGTCTTTGCGTTGATTTTATTTATTGATTTATCATATTGTCATATGTGGACAATGAGTTTTGAATATATTAAAATTTTTGAAACTTTCGTACGTTTTCATTAGATAATTTAGATTTATGTTTAATATTTGAAACTTCAAAGAGCATGCGTGGGATATGCTTAAACGATCTTGGCATAAATATTAAAATAGAAATTATAGATCCTTTTAAATTTCATTACAGAAAAAGGGAGTGGGTCTTGATCCTAAGAATTGAAAATTTATTGGATAAAGCTAAGTTAATTTTTCTTTAGACCAATAGCATTTTATATTTGTAAATGTGTATGCTTTGAATATTAATGAACAAACTAAGAAACTAAAGGTTTTTGTGATTTTGAGCCTTTGATTCTTTTAGTTTCCTTTTGGGGATTAACGTAAATGACCAAACAAAAAGAATCAAAGGTATACATGGTGATTGGTAAGAGGAACGTAAACGTCACGTGGACGGCCATGCATGATTTACATCGACAAAAACGATATCTAATTTTTCATTTCATCGATCGTGAAACAAAAAATCAGATTATTGACCAAAATTTATTGTCTAGTGATTTATAATAATAGTGTTGATGTATCTCTAATCGCCATACAAATTCGATGGAATGTATCCTTTTGGAAAAGCTTTTGCAGCTTTTATTTAGACATATTTTTTTGAACATTATTGTAAAACAGTATATTAATTTTACACTATATACTTTTTATTTTATAATTATTTGGGTCGACGGCGGTGCCGGAACTGGTCCCTCGTACGTTGACTTTTTGTCTTTCATTATTCGAAGACCTGACGCAGTCTTCATAGGTTCGTCACTCATTTGACATTTTGGTGTTTTAATTTTGTTCTTGAACAATAACTATGTAAATCTATATCCATGGATGTGTTAACATTTAACATCACAATTCTAATTTTAAGTGAAAATAATCATCTTCTTAGTTATAGCTTTTTCGCCTATCAAAATTATCTATAAAAAATTACAAATCAACAGATGTGATTCGGTAGTAATTGTTTTTGGCCGTTGAAGTTAGAAAAAAGAATTTTACTTGGACGTATTTTTGTTGGAAATTGTAACTTTTATATGACATTTATTCAATCAAGACAGTATTTATATCTTGATCTAAAATATATTAGCTATGTATTATTAAAATTGGAATATGTAACAAATTCAAATTGGAATATATTGCACTAGCGATGACATCGTGTTATTAGGCCGATTCAAATTCGATAGTGTGATTAGGTAACAAATTGTAGATGACCATATTTTTTTCAATTGATATACGAAAGACCATTAAGTTTTTTTGGGGTTAATTGACTGGTCGTACCGTAGCAAGTCATCTAATTTGTGTGCTCCAAATTGCATTTATTTATATCCCTTAGTAAATAGTAACCTTATGTGATCTCCAAAAGCTCTCCTAACCAAAATTTCCACCCAAATGGTTCATTGTTGTGTCATGTGTGGCAAACCTTGAATCAACTTGGAACACATCCTTGGACTATGTCAAGGGATCTTTAATTCACTCCCAACTCTTTTTTAGTAAACGAATGAAGAGCAATTTTGGGATACAAAAAAAAGTATGAACATAAGATGCAGTCATTGGTGATCTTAGTAAGGATCAGATTCAACAGTTCATCGCTCTGTTTAGTTCTCAGCTTCAACCTCAGTCAAGTTTTGGTTCTCCTGCAGCTAGTACATCTCAGAATGATAACACTGGTATCTCGTTTTCCTCTTCTACATATTGTTTCATTGGTATATTGACAGTATCTAGAAATACTATTTCCCCTAAGACATGGGTTATAGATTCTGGAGCAACACATCATGTCTCACATGATAGAAGCTTGTTTCTTACTCTGGATACTGCTATTGTTAGCTGTGTAAACTTGCCTACAGGACCTACTGTTAAAATTAGTGGTGTAGGAACCATTAGGATCAACAAAGAATGTGTTGTTTATCCCGGAATTCAGGCTAAATCTCATCAGTATTAGTTCTCTCACTACTGATCTTGGTTTCCGAGTGGTGTTTGATCCCTATTCTTGTGAAATTCAGGATCTTACCAAGGAGTTGACCATTGGAAAGGGTAGAAGAGTGGCAAATCTATATGTTTTGGACATTGAGGAGACAGAGATTTCAGTGAATGCAGTGGTGGATGTTAGTATGTGGCACAAGAGACTGGGGCATCCTTCATTCAGCAGATTGGATGTTATTTCTGAGTCTTTAGGCACTACTAGACATAAGAATAAGGGTTTAGCTTACTGCCATATTTGTCATTTGGCTAAGCAGAAGAAGTTATCTTATCATTCTCAGAATAATATTTGTAATACAAACTTGGAGTTATTACATATTGACATCTGGGGACCATTTTCAGTTGAATCTATTGATGGATATCGATATTTTTTAACTATAGTGGATGATCATTCAAGAGCAACCTGGGTATATTTGCTGAGGAACAAGTCAGAGGTTCTTACAGTTTTCCAGCTTTTATCACTCTTGTTGAGAATCAGTTTAATCTCAAAGTTAAATCAGTTAGGTCAGACAACGCACCTGAATTGAACTTCACAAGTTACTATCAAGATAAAGGTATACAGTCCTTCCATTCCTGTCCAGAGACACCTGAACAGAACTCAGTAGTTGAGAGGAAGCATCAGCATATCTTGAATGTAGCTCGTGCTCTCATGTTTCAATCTCAAGTTTCTCTGCCTTTTTGGGGTGACTGTATCTTGACCGCAATATTTCTTATTAACAGAACTCCATCTCAAGTTCTATCTAATAAGACTCCTTTTGAAGTTCTTACAGGGAAAGCACTTGCATATGATCAATTAAGGACTTTTGGCTGTCTTTGTTATGGATCAACATCTCCTAAACAGAGAACTAAGTTCCAAGAAAGATCTAAAGCTTGTGTGTTCTTGGGTTACCCTGCAGGCTACAAAGGATATAGGTTGATGGACTTGGAGAGCAATAAAATTTTCATTTCTAGAAACGTCATATTTCATGAAGATGTGTTTCCTCTGGCAAAAGATAAGAATGTATTATCAGAGGAGGCCTATTAGAATGTCCCACATTGGTTAGGACAAAGATCTTTGGGTAATATATAAAGGATGTGGCAATCCTTAACTCTTGAGCTAGCTTTTGGGTTAAGTTAGGCCACATTCCTAATATGGTATCAGAGCCCAATGTTGGCCCAACAAGCAAATTCCTACACAAATGGTTTCCCACCTATGTGGCCCATATAAGTGGCATGTCTTGTTGTATTTCCGAGATGTTGGGCTTGGGCTGTTTCCCGTTCGACCGTTTCCCACCCACATCTCGAGGAGGCCTATTAGAATGTCTTACATTGCTTGGGATTAAGATATTTGAGTAATATATAAAGGATGTGGCAATCTTTAACTCTAGAGCTAGGTTTTGGGTTAAGTTAGGCCACATTCCTAATATCCGGCATCTTTTATAAAATACAAAAACGATACAAGATACGTGAAATCATGAATTTCTGCAAAGAAGACAAAGTGAAAAAGTGGAGATTGTTTACCATGGTTTATCACGTTTATCATGTATTTGTGGTTATCTTGATTTGAACCAAGTCCCATGTTCGCAACATATATAAGTAAATAAATTTGTATATCCATTTATATGTAACTCAATTTTCTTGTTTAAATGATGTTATGCAGATAGATAACAGAACAACGAAAACATCAAATATATATGGAATTTTAAGTTTAATATATAATTAAAGAAGAATTTAAGCGTCATATCTATGGCATTGCATACGACTATTTCTATTTCATGTAATCTTACACAATCGTTGGTTTATAATCTCTGATTCATTCATAAAATGTATTGATGGGGTGGGCTCTATTTGACCTATATCAAAAAAGGTTATAGGCCAATCATCTTAATCAATTGAGCCCATGTTGCTCACCTTAAGAAAAGCCTGAATTTTTAAAGTTACATGAAGATGTGTGAAACGTCAAATGCGTGAATTATACACTCTTTTTTGGAACCAAATTTATATAGAGTCATTACCGATAACAAATACATATCAAAACCAAAAGCTTGGTCTAGTGGTGAATCTTAGATCCTTCAAATGGAGGTTGAACCTGGACTTCTAGTTCAATTTTGTTTTCGTCTTTTTTCGGGACGATGTGTCCTCCAAAATAGGTTTACAAACCTCGGCTCTAGGGGGTGGCAAGGTAGGCAAAAGTCCAGAGTCCATTATCAGTTTCAAAAAATTTATTAAGGTTAAAAGACCCAATTTTTCCAATTTTTTTTTTAATAAGAGTTTTACCATGAGCCCCATAATAAATTGAGCCGGACTGCTCTGGACTTCGCAGTAAAGAGAAACACTAGATCCAATATATATATATATATATATGTAAATTCACTATTGGGAGCTTTTTATATATTACAATTCTCGAAGAGAATCTAAAAGAACTTCATATAGGATGACGGATTCCATAGATCTTATGTATTCATTAAAACACGCACTCGACATAATTTGTGGCGCTATATATAGTTTAATAAAATGGCTAGTGAACAAACACCACCATTTTTTGTTGACATTTGGAAAAGGGATTAGGTCCATACTTTTTGGGGATAATTGTTTTTGTTGCAGATGAAATGTCAATACCAACTATATGATTTTTGAATAAAAGTTTCTGAATATTTTTTTGAGAAATAAACATAAAACACACTGACTTATATTGAACTATATATATTACTGAAAGTATTTGAATTTTGAAGAGTATGTATAAAATATAACGTGCATTATAATTCGGGTTTCGGTAAAGTGTTTTTGTCTTATTTTCTTCTTCTATTTGTAATATGCAAGTTAATGTATATATATACATAGATTATATAAGAACACTGACAAGTAATATCAGAAAAGTACTTTTTCATGAATAAACTAATTTTCAATTTCACAATAAAATAGAGAAACATGAACGTTTATAGAGGAAATACATTGTGTGTGTGTGTTATTTTTTGTTTACTCAAACACACTACATTTTAACCAAATATAGATAACTTCTGTTACCAAAATTTAACACTACAACAAAAACAAAATATATCCAAAACAACAAATTGACGAAACGTACCTTATCTTTACATGAATAATGTACTTTTTCTCAACATCATAACAATTATTGTACAGGATAATGGAGAGATCCATATCAAGAAACCATTAACAAATATGATGGTTACATCAATTTAATACACTTCACAATATATAATCATGATATATCCATGCTCATGTATGTTTTCATAACAAAATATTAATCCAAAAAAGCAACAAAATCTATTAAAACAAGTCAAAAACCTTTTAGCTAGTGATGCAAAGGGTTCGGACCGCTAGGTACCAACCGTTCCTCATCATTGTACCATGAAACGGTTTCTTTTCCGGTCAGGCTTTGACTTTGACGTTGCCATTGAGTGCGATCTTTGCTCTTGAGAAACGGAGTAAAATCAAAATTACTTGCTAGAATTCTCTTATGGCCTAAACTATTAATGCCGGATTTGTGCTTGTAAGAAGTCGTAAAAGCAAAAGAAATAAGAAGAAATACGAACAGCGCAGAGATCAGTAGAGCGATGTGGAAGAGGAAACTACACGGCTTAGGTTGTTTCTTCATGACCTTGTAGAGAAAAGTTTGATGAAGATGAAGAAGCAGGAGAGGTCATGGAGACAGAGAGAAAGAGAGAGAAATAAGAGAAATGGATAGAGAAAAAGATATGAGATTTTATGATTAAAAAAGGTGTTTGTTTTTTTGTTAATCTCCAAGAAATTACAGCTTGAGCGGAGTTTTATATAAGTCGGAAGAATAAAGTACCACATAATAATTTAATTTACTTTTCAAATTATGATATGGATCGGATCAAAACTAATCACATATTTGGCATAATGTATGGGGTTTGAGTATTGGATTTGTGAAAAAACAAATGTATGAAAATGAGGGAATTAAAGAAGAGAGTCAAAAGGTTACTTTACGTTCAAGGAAGAATGGAGGTGGAGTGGTGCCATGCATTTAAAAAAAGCCAAATAGTCAAAGTTTTGAATTTATTACACTGTATTTGGTATGACCTAATGTTATTGGAGGTTGGGCACATTTGTTTTTTTAACCTTACATCTTCAATTGATATTTTGTATTTGTTACATAAATAAGATTGTTTCGATATACGGGTTCAAAAAAGCCGAGAAATGCTCAAAATTAACTTTTGTGCTACTTAATAAATAGGACAAATTAAATTCGAATTAATTGAGCTGTCTAAATAAGTTTGAGTAGTCCGACGTTTTGAATATCGGACATTCGTCGCCATAATGCACGGTGGTAGTAGTAGTTGACTTGATGATGACTTTGATATTCCTTTTTCGTTCTTTTTTTTGTTAGTTGATGACTTTGATAGTTCACTTTATATTTTCTACGATTTATCATATATATATATATATATATATATATCAAGAGAATGAAGTTATATAAAATTAGAAAGTTATATATCTATGGCATGTCAGGACAGGACAGGAGAATACTACTACTTGCTTTTCTTTTCTTTGTCCATTAAGAGAATGACCATTAGTTATTTTTATGTTTGGTTGTTGTCTTCTTGTTCACAAAAATGGTTTTTGTTTGTTTGTTTCCTGCTATAATCTCGAGAGTATTAATATAGTAATTATCAAATCCATATACGAAACAAATGAATCAACGATAGCTGAAAACTCTCTTCTGAATATTTGATATTTGACAATGTTTACATAATATAGACTCAAAAGGTTTTAATAAGATTGACGGGATAAATATAGTACGCATGCATGGATGTGAAAACACGCATATGTCCCGTTGCACCGGACATTTTCTTTAATTGTACTCTAACATTCTCATATCCCAATCTTTAGGCCTTATTTTCATATTAGAGTATGTATTTATTTACTTGAAACTTGAAGACCACATAAAACAAAGCTTCTATAGTTCTGCCTCCGTGCATTACGTTAATTTGATTCAATCCCCAGCTGTAACCCAACGATATATTCGGAACTATATATGACATTTATCATCCGTACAATATTCGATTTAAAATTGAACACATATTGTATATGGGCCTATAACATACTTACCAGCTAACATATTCAAGTAATGTCTCCACAAAGGCCCAAATATTAACAACTGGAAATTTAAAAATTCTCTACAATGAAATTGAAAACTAGCCAGCAATTTTTAAGTGAAGTACCCGTTAAGTTGTTTTTTTTTTTTCACTTAATTTGATCCATTTATTGAGTTTTAGATGACCATTATATTTTGGCACAACAAAAAAAGGATGACCATTATAGAGCTCATGTGAAAAAAACACATTATTATTGAAGTGAAAGATGGTAAGAAGCCTAGTTAGGATGACATACGTTGGTCGTTGGGAAGCCCAACAATCGAGCTCGTCATCGCGAAGCCAAGACAGATTCAAGATCAGATGAAAACGGTAAAATCCGAACACTTAATTGACGAACTTCTCCGAGCTCAAGATGACAATTATACGAGCTCATGTGAAAACCCCACCTATTATTATATAAAAGAGATGGGAAATTAGGCAAATAACCATTTTTCTAACTCTAGAAATTGATTTCTTAGAACTTTAGGTTTTGTCTTTAAAATTCATCATTTCATGTATCCAATACTTTGTTAAATATAATTCTCTCTTAATTGAGTTTGATTTCATGTTCTCTTATTTTGACCTTGATAACTATTTTTTTGCAAAACTCAGATTATTTCATTCTCCTATCCGAATTTTGCATTTACACTACATTGATGCTCACTAATATAAGATTTTAAAATGAGATCAACATTTATAATTTGATTGTTTCAAGCTGCATTTGTCTTAACAAAATTCCACATTTAAATTCAAAAAATTAATAACATTTTTGAACGAAGTTGTTTGAAATCAAATATTTTATAAAATAAAAAAGGTTTGCCAACTACACTAATCTTTGGATTGATTTCGAGTAATATAAATCGAAATGACTAAAGTCTCTAAAGAATGAAAATCGAAATGACCAAAGTCTCTAAATAATGAATGAGGATCAATTTTCAAAGAAAAGTGAAGAGTAATCGTCAACTACAAGAATCTTATCCTATGCGTACTCTTTCCTTATGAGTGACACAATAGAAAACGAACCCAACTGATTGATCCTTGTGAATAAGATAAAGTCCCAATCAACATCTTATCCTGCGCATATGCACTGTCCCCTATACTAACCTGCGCATATACAAATGTCCACTCTTATCATGCGCACCTCAACTTAATACCAAAAATTAAAAAGTTTCACAAAACTCCAAAAGGTAAAGAATCTGACCCATTCACATATGCGTTTCACAAACACTGTCATGTCCACCACACGATTAAACCAAAGAGAAAAGAGAGAGAGAGAGAAACAGAGTGAAAGATTGAAGCAATCGAATGGAGAGTGTGGTGGCAACATGGAGCAGAGAAGAAGAGAAAGCATTCGAGAACGCAATTGCGTTGCATTGTGTAGAGGAAGAGATAACAGAGGACCAATGGAACAAAATGGCGTCATTGGTTCCAAGCAAAGCTTTAGAAGAAGTAAAGAAACATTACCAAATCCTTTTAGAAGATGTCAAAGCAATCGAGAATGGTCAAGTTCCTTTACCTCGTTATCATCACCGCAAAGGTCTCATCGTCGATGAAGCAGCAACTTCTCCTGCTAACAGAGACTCTCATTCCTCTGGATCATCGGAGAAGAAACCAAACCCTGGAACCTCCGGGATAAGTAGCTCCAATGGAGGAAGAAGTGGTGGCTCCAGAGCTGAGCAAGAGAGAAGAAAAGGGATTCCATGGACTGAAGAAGAGCATCGGTTTCTTCTTCATCATCTTTTAATCTATCCATTGACATTTGAGACTTAAAGAGTGAAAAAAGATTTCAAAGATCTTTATTCAATGCTCTGTTTTGGTTCAAAGATCTTTACTTTTATTGAATTCTTTGTTTTTCTTGAAAGGTTGTTTCTTTTGGGTTTGGACAAATTTGGGAAAGGAGATTGGAGAAGCATTTCAAGGAACTTTGTGATCTCAAGAACTCCGACACAAGTTGCAAGTCATGCTCAAAAATACTTCATCCGGCTTAACTCGATGAACCGAGATAGAAGGCGGTCTAGTATTCACGACATCACCACTGTGAACAATCAAGCTCCTACGGTTACAGGAGGACAACAACAACAACAAGTGGTTAAACATAGACCAGCTCAGCCACAACCACAACCACAACCGCAACCACAACCACATCATCCACCGACAATGGCTGGATTAGGGATGTATGGTGGTGCGCCTGTGGGACAACCGATCATCGCACCACCTGATCATATGGGTTCAGCTGTTGGAACGCCAGTGATGCTTCCACCTCCAATGGGAACTCATCATCACCATCACCATCATCTTGGAGTTGCTCCTTATGCTGTACCGGCTTATCCGGTACCACCATTACCGCAACAACATCCAGCTCCGTCGACAATGCACTGACAACAAAACAGTTGGTAATAAACTGACAACATTGTACTGAAAACTTGTGTACATTCTCAAATCGAATAGCGAAACTGCGGCAAATAATAATGTACAGCAGAGGAATCTGTTTTTTTTCATTTCAAAAATTTATGAAAATTTTCTCAATATGTCAGTAAATTTCTTGAAACAAAAGCCTATTGGATTTATCATATTCAGACAGTAGAGAGAAAGTCGAAAAGACGTATACAAAGATACAACAACCAAACCATACTAAAGAATCAAAGACCAAGTGATGACTAGAAAATTTCTAAAATTGAAGTTAAATAATCCGATAAAACAATGCCATACTTATTGGAGAAGCTCTCTTGTAACTGAAAATTGACATAGAAGAGGCACATGCAAAGAGGAAGAACCAAATCCAAAAATATGATTAGAAGAGAAGTAGAGATAAGAAGTAAATATTCAATGATGTATAAAAATCTTACAGAAAAATAGGAATGTAGCAAACTTTACTAGTGACAAACTGGTGGGAGACGAGATTCCAGAGATCAAGTATTAGAGAATGTATAGTTGTTTTAATCTCTTGTATTATTGGGTTGTCAATTTGTCATGGTTAAATGCAAACAATGTGAGTAAATCATATGTCCCTTTTTTTATATAATCTTTATTATTTTTGCATTTTTTATAACAGACATGAAACTTAATGGGATAAAAATATCCAGGCGTGGAGTATGATAACTAACCTTCTCTGATAAGAAATTATGAATTGTTTACCTTATATTGTTTTTTTTTATGAAGTAACTGATGTAATTTTTTGTATTCTTAGGATTTTCATCTTAGTAAATATATGTTTTAGTAAGTTTCAAATTAAACAAATATGTCAGAGTATATGAAAGTAGAAATTATGTTTGGTTTTGTGTGTGTAGGCTAAATGAGTTTAGTATTTGATATTTGATATTTGTTAGGGTATTGGGAAAGAAACATGATGAATAGAATAGAGAAAAAATGGAGAGTAGGATGTTCCCATGAAAAAACTTGATGACATATCATTTGATGACAATAATTATGTGAAATATATACGATTTTTCAATTATGTAGTGTTATCGTTAAAATATCATCTACTAATTTAATTTGGAGATTGGTGAGAATGAATTGATTTTATGGAATTTTCTCAATTATACAGTGTCCAAAGATAATCACAAAACAATAAGTAGGAGTCATATCCTGTACAGCAAAAGTCAAAGTTTAAAACTCACCACAAAATAATCAAAGTTTAATCCCAATGGAGTCATAGTTGTTGAATTAGGTAACAAAAACGGAGAAATTTACGTTGTAGACTACGATATACCTAAATTAACTAAACTAATCACAATGTACGAGTGGGTACATTTACAATACATTGATTTTTTTTTTTTTTTTTTGTAGATACTTGTTTTGTAAATAGTCAAATACATTTACTAAAAATAATGTTTTTTGTAATAGTTCATCAGATTCTGGCTCAGATGCACTAATCAAAGAATATAGCATTCCTAGAGATGGGTGGTACATCTCTGCAGTATGATAACTAGTGTATGTCTTACCATATTTCATCGAACTCAAGCAAAA